TAGAGAGTTTCCAGATCACTGTGCAGTGAGAGGGAGGCCTGCAAGATTCCCTGCACTGAGAAGACCCAGTTCTCAGTCTGAAGATATCAAAAATGACTACAGGGATAAAACAATGGAGAGAGGAGAGCTACACAAAGAGAAAATTGAAGAGATCTGTGGAGGGTCCCATTTCAACACTCACCACAGTAATGACTAATGAATGTAGGTGAGGAAACTACTACCTCAAGAGGATTAGATGGAACGCTGCCAAGTGTTCATATAGGGGCCAAAAATAGTGGCTGTTCCTACCAGCCATACTGGAAAATCTCATAATTCATAGGCCATTGTGTGGAGCACATAGAAGAATCTTGCCTCAGTAGTAAGGAATAATTAGCCCTAGACTAAACACTACTCCAGTTCCAGCTAGCAAATCTTAAAAGTGAGACTCAAAAGAATAGAACTATTTCCAAGTAACTTAACTGTGTCCCAGAACAGAGTTAAAAAATATAGGAATACAAAAATATCCAGCACCAACAAGGCAAAAATAAAAATGTCTGGCATCCAGTCAAAAATTACCTGGCATGTAAAGAAGCAGGAAAATGCAACCCATAATGAGGAAAGAAACCAATCCATTTAAACTGACTCAGACATTAGAATTAGCATATAAAGACATTAAAACAATTATAACTCTATTCCATATGTCAAAAATGTTAAAGTGTGTGATATATTAACAAGACCCAAACTGAACTTTTAAAGATGAAAATTATAATGTCTGAGATGAAAAATTTACCAGATGGGGTCAAAAATAGGTTAGACTTTGCAGAAGGTATTGAAGATCCATTCAAAATTAAACAAAGAATTAAAAAAAAATAAAAATAGAATCACTTCACATGGCCAAAAACACATAAAATTAGAGTCACTGAAGGAGAATAAAGATGGTCAGGAAGAAAAAAAATATAAAAAAAAAATAATGGCCCCCAAATCTCCAAACATGATAGAACTATAAACCCACATATTCAAGAAGCTCAATGAACCTCAAGCACAATAAAATAATAAAATTGCTCAAAACTTGGACTAAAGAGAAGATCTTAGAAGCATCCACAGGACAAAAATGGTATATATATACAGGGGGTCAAAGGTAGGAATAAAAGCAGATTTCTCAATGCAAACAATGTAAGCAAGACAGAGAAGCAACAGTTTTAAATTACTAAAAGAAAAACATGTCAATCTAGAATTCTATACCCAGCAATAACAACTTACAAAAGCAGAAGCAGAAAGAATCTATCACTAACAGATCTGAAAGGTAAGAAATAGAAAAAGACATCCTTTAGGAAGGACAATGAAATTAGATTAAAATATGTATGTGAAGGAATGATGAGCAGCAAAAATGGTAACTACATGGGTAAATATATAAAATTATTTTTTTCTTAAAAAAATTACTTTTCTTATTATTTAAATGTCTTTAAATATAATTATTCTTTAGGGAAAAATAATGACATGTTATAGAATATAGCATGCATATATATATGCAAAATGTATGTCAATACAATAAAGGCTAGGAGAGGAGAAATAAAAGTATACTATTATAAGGTTCCTATACTATATATATAGTGGTATAATAGCTTTGAAGGTATATCATGATATGCTGACTATGCATATATAAACACTAAAGTAACCACTAAAATAAAAAAAAGATATATAGTTAATAAGTCAACAAAGGAGATAAAAAGGAATCATAAAAACACCCAATCCAGAAAAAGAAAAAAAAGAGAAGAAAGATGGGACAACAGAAAATAAGTAGCAAGATGACAAAACTAAACCTGACCAAAAAAAGAAAATCACATTAAATATGAATGGTCCAAATACCCCAATTTAAAGGTAACAGTGTCAAATTGGATTTAAAAAATATATACAAAAAACCTAAATATATGTTGCCTACAAGAAATATATTTTATTTTATTTTATTTTTGATAACTAAATGGAATTTATTTTTTTACATTTGATCAAAGATTTTATTTATTTATTTTTTAACTTTTTTTTTAACGTTTTATTTATTTTTGAGACAGAGACAGAGCATGAATGGGGGAGGGGCAGAGAGAGAGGGAGACACAGAATCAGAAGCAGGCTCCAGGCTCTGAGCCATCAGCCCAGAGCCCGACGCGGGGCTCAAACTCACGGACCGCGAGATCGTGACCTGAGCTGAAGTCGGACGCTCAACCGACTGAGCCACCCAGGCGCCCCTGGCCTTTTATTTATTTTTTAATATAATTTATTGTCAAATTGGTTTCCATACAACACCCAGTGTTCATCCCAACGAGTGCCCTCCTCCCTGCCCATCACCCATTTTCCCCTACCCCCCACCCCCCCAATCTACCCTTAGTTTGTTCTCAGTCCTTAAGAGTTTTAAAGTGGATGCTGAAAATAATGACAGAACAGATTCTGGTCCATAAAGCCAGTCTCAATAAATTTAAAATGATTAAAGTCATAAAAATTATGTTCTTTGATATATAGTGACATCAATAACAAAAAGATGTCTGTAAAATCCCCAATATTTGGAACATAAGTAACATTAAATAAGTAGCCATAAAGAATCCATAAGTCAAAGAAGAAAACAAAAGGGAAATTAGAATATATTTTGAACTGAATGAAAATGAAAACTCAATTTATCAAAAATTGGTAAGCCACTAAAGCAGTAGTTAGGGGGAATGCTTATAAGAAAAATCTCAAAACAATAACCTCAGCTACTACCTTAAAAATCCAGGAAAAAGAGGAGTGAACTAAATCCAGTTAGCCAAAGAAAAGAAATAATAAAGATCCCAACAGAACACAATGAAACGGGTAACAATAGTGAAAACAGATAAAACCAAAGTTGACTGGATTGAGAAAGTAAATAAATTACATAACCTTTGAGCCAGATTGATCAGAAAGAGAGAGAGAGAGAGAGAGAGAGAAAGGCAAACTGCCAAAATCAAGAATGAGAGAGAGATCGCTATAATTTCTAAATTTCCATGGGTATTAAAAGACTAATTATAGAATGTTATGAACAATTTTTTGCCAGTAAATTTTATAACCTACATGAAATGGCCAAATTCCTTGAAACACACAAGCTATAATCTGAATAGCCTTGTATCTATCAGACAATTAAATTGGTAGTTAAACCTTCCTACAGGGAAAGCTCCAAGCCCAGGTTTTTTCACTGGTGAATTCTATCAAATAATTAAGGAAGAAATACTGCTAATTCTACCCAAACTGTTAGAAAATGGGAAAGGAAGGAAATATTTTGCGAGGGCAAATTTACGTTGTGAGGCCAGAATTAATCCTGATAATAAAAACAGACACAAGCATTACAAGAAAACTACAGATCAGAATCTCTCAGGAACATAGATGCAAAAAATTCGCAACAAAATTTTAACACATCAAATCCAACAATATGTAGAAAGAAAAAAAAAGATAATGCATCATGACCATGTGGGATTTACTTACTCTCGAAATGTAAGGTGTTTTTTTTTTATCATTTGGAAATCCATCAATGTAATTTATCATATTTTTAAATGTAATCTATAATATTCACAAAGAAACAAACTATATGATCATTTCAATAGACAGAAAATTCAACATCCATTTCTAATTCAAACAAAAAAATCTCTCAGCAAACGAGTATTCAGTTTTCCATCATGAAGTCTGATGTTACATAAAGAATAAGCATGGTGCTGGAGTGAGATTTGGTTATAAAGCCTGACTCTACTAGGTACTGGTTGTAGGACTTTGGCAAAATCTCACACCTCTCTGGGTGGGATCCATTTACTTGATCTGTAAGCAAGGCTGCTAATCATTTGGAGAGTGAAGTTAGAAAAATGACGGCACTTGTTTCTCTGACCCCCGCCCTCCCCAAATCAATTTCAACAGGTAGCCATGCAGAAAAATACGTCCGCAAGAACTAAAGTTTCTAGGTAAGGGATTATAGCACTTGGGTGAGGCACAAAAACAGGAAAAGCGATAGTAAGCATGTTAAGAAAGGTAAGATTCACTATCATAACTTCCCCCAAGATGGGACAGACCAATTCAGAGAGAGAAATCCTCCCTGTGGAAGGAGAGAGAAGTGTGTGCGTGGCTTCACCAAGAACCCTGTACCCGCTATTGAGGTCCCAGAAGCTTTCAAGGCACCAGGCTCTCACGAACTCAAGCTTCCAATCCATCCTGGTGCCTGCCAGTTCCTACAGCTCCAGGGGTCCCTGTGGGCCAGGCTTCACTTGGTTCCAGTGATGACTGGGCATAACCCAAGCATACAATACACGCTCACAGAAAATTGGTTAGTTTGCCATGTATCTAAACCATATTCTCAATGATGCTTCATTGTTAATTAAATTGACAGTGCCTTCAGATACAGTCAGCCTAAGCCTGACTACCACAGACCCAGACTCCTGGCCTGCCTTGAAGCCAAACCCGCCCCCACACAGCCAATCTCCAGGATGGCACAGCTTCCTGGCTCTATCAGACATTCAGAATTCAAGGAGAACAACTCAGAGTCACAACCAAATGTAGCACTCTGAAGAGTCCCTTTTCTCATCTCCTCCCCAATGCGTGAATCATTTCCAAATCCCTCTTCCCCACCACTGAAGACAGCTATCTCACTAGAGATGGTATGTCTCACTAGAAAAGACAATTCCTTGAGTTTATCTCCGTCCCAGAGATTATATACTTACAGACTCTGTTATTCAAACATGTGACCTGTAGGCCTTTCCAAGCAGAAAAGGTTAAATCCTTTTCTAAATTAACACTTTGATATATGACTTTAACGATCCATCTCAGAGAATCAGAAATTCTTTCCAACTACAATTTAATATCTTTCCCCACTGAAAAATCATATAAAAAGGCATACAGGTGTGGGCACCAGGTGACAATCACAAAACAATGAAATCTCAAATGCCTTCCCACATCAGATGACAGTAAGTCTCCAAATCCATTTCTCTCCTCTGTCACGCCACCCCAACAAAATGCGAAGTCACGGGCTTCCTACTTACCTGTATAGAGGTCTGTATCTGTGTATTCATCCACCTTCTTGTGCTGCAGAATATAGTCAGAGACCTTGGTCCCAATAGCTGGTTGAACATCCACCCATTCCAAGGAGACCACTGTGCTGGAGGGCTCTACTGTTGGGGACAGACGAAGCCTAGAAAGGGTGATGGGGAAGGCTGGTCATTTCCCAGTCAGCATTGTCTGGGCTCCAAAAGCATGTGCACATCTCAAGATTAAAAGCACAGGATTCACCCTAGGCTCAAATCCTGTTTCAACCCACCAACAAGCCTTTGTATGGACTCTGGCAATTCATTATACCTCTTTCAGTCTCCATTTCCTTATCCATAAAACAGGGTTATGAATAGCTACCCAAGCATATGATATATGCTCACAGAAAATTGATTTTTCCATGTATCTAAACCATATTATCAATGATGCTTTGTTGTTAATTAAATTCACAGTGCCTTCAGATACAGTAGCCTCAACCTTCCTGCCATTCTCTCCAATCCCCCAACAGATCAGTCAGATCTATAACATCTTTAAATCAACACTCCCTCAGAGAGGGCAGGAGTCCCAGAGAATCCTTTTATAAGTTACGACACAGCACAACGATTGAAGGTCAGAACTGGAAAAGTCCTTAGAGGCTGGGAAGTTCAATCACCTCATTTCACAGGTAGGGAAGCAAGGAAAAGAAAAACTATTTGTGAAAAGTCACACAGCATGTTGGGCACAGAACTATGATGGTAATTTCCTTGTGCCCAGCCCAGATTCCTTCTCTATTTCCATTACACTACCTCTACAAGAACTATCTTATGGTGTAATCTCCCCAACACACACAAAGGGATGTTATGGGCCTCTGGTTCCCCCATATTGGCTCTTGCTCCTCTCTCCTATGCTCCTCACAGCACTGTCTTAATCACACTGCATCAGTTGAGATGATCTTCTCTTACTTCCCTGAATGCTGAATTTCCCACATTGGGGTTTTCACATGTGTTCCTCCTTTTGCTTGAACCACGATGGTGCCATTTGTTGCCTGGAAAACTACTCTGATTCAGGTCTTTTCAGAGAGGCTTCCCTCCCTCCCCTCCAACTAATGCACCAACCACATTATTCTCTCCTAGCACCTCTTCGTCTTTCTTTCATATATTTATTAGCTTTTTGAAATGTATCATATTTTCCTGTTTTTGCTTTGATATCTATCCCCTCACTAAAGGGTCAGCTCCCTAAGTGCACAGACTGTCTTATTCACTGATGAATTTCCCAGTGCCTGACACACAGCAGGTGTTCAAAAATTATTTGTTGAATTAATGAATTAAATGACATTTCTTAGACAACATTCTACACCCTCCTTACCTCAGTAGCCCCAGTGACCAACACAGGAACTGATTAAGCAGCTGTCAGTGCCCAGTAAATGTCTCCTAAACAGATGAGCGTGGAAGTAATGATAAATGGAGGGGATCATTTAAAAAATCTGGTTTCTATTCTCCCCAAACACTCCGCTTTCTCAAAGGAGGAGGCAGGTCACAGAGACTTCAGGGATCTGGTGATGCACTCGGGGACAGGAGTGTGAGTCCATGAAAGGGGTGGCCAGAGGAAGAGGGACCACGCACACATACGTACACTGGCTGTGGGAGGGGGCTGCAGTTGGGGAGCCCACTGGCATCAAAGGCGCTGAGGTCACATCTGCACCAGTCATCGATCACATCCCCTTTTCCAGAGCACCAGTAGGAGCTCATCAGTGCGCTCTTGAAGGCCTGGAATAAAGAAGGGCAGAAGACATGATGATGATCATGGTGGAGAGATTGAGAGTGAAGATCCCAGGGACCAGAGTTGACCCAAGCTTCAGAGCAACCCACCTAGGCACAGGCCACCATGTCTTTCCCAAAGACCTAACACTCTGCCACCAGGTTCTCCCATTCTGAGCCATTCTCTCCCCCAGGCAGCCAGAATGGTCACTGAGGCAGGACAGTGGTAACAGCAACTGCTGAGAACCTCCTCTGGGGCCCAGCACTCTACCTGAATTAAATTATGTAGTCTTCTCCACCCCATGCAATCGATATCACAATTATTATTATCGTCATTTCCCACTCTACCCATTGGAGTACTGAGGTCCACAGAAATAACTTGTCTGAGGTTCACAGCCAGTAATGTGATGGAGCTGGGATCTCGTGAAAACAGTCTGGGCCCAGGCCCTGCCCCTCCCCACCCCTTTTTAATTGAAGTATAATTAACAGTGTTATATTAGTTTCAAGTGTACCACATAAGGATTCCACAATTCTACACACTACCCAGTGCTTAGCACAGTAAGTAAAGTCACCAGAATTCTTGCAGATGTTTGGTCCATCTCACCTCCCCGTGTGGAAACCTTCAGAGGCTCCCCGCCAAGGCCCTCAGGATAAAGCCTAAGCTCCTTACTCTAGCTCCTGATGGCTTCCACGGGCTCATCGTTCACCACTCCTGTGATGTTCCCTTACATGCTAATGTCCACCCTCATGCCACCTCTAACATTCTCACCACAGTAAATTCCTATGAAAAGCGTGCTCTAAGTTAGGAGACAACAAATTCCTTCTGTAAAGGGCCAGATAGCAAATAGTTTTGGCTTTGTGGCCAGGTAGTCTCTGCCACAATTAACTTAGCTTTGTCTTTGTAGCCCACAAGCGACAGAGATACTTTAAATGAATGGGCATGATTGTGTTCTGATAAAACGTTATTGACAAAGACAGGAAGCAGGCCAAATTTGGTCTAGGTCCACAGTTTGCTGACCCTTCCTCTCAATGATGATAAACGTTCTATAGAATTGCAATGTGCCTCGTTGTCTTTTTATTTAAAAAGATTTCTTTTCTCCCTGCTAGAATATTCCCTACTCCCCTTCCTTGTACTCCAAGGAAGGAAGTATCCCTTTATTCTGGGACTAATTCTTAAGTCTTGAATCATTCCCCTCTTCTGGACGCCATAACACGCTAGACCACACCTATTGTCACCTTCCCTTGCCTGTCTCATCCAACAGATTCTGATCACACCAAGGGTACGGGCCATGCCTTATTCACACAAGTATTCTCACAGGGCCTAGCACCGATATCCAGTCAATATTTACTGAATAAATAAATGGACACCGAAAAACATCAAGCTCATGTTCAGGTTCAGGTGTGCTTCACGCTGTAGTCACTCCATTTACACTAATGTTTCAAGGCACTGAGGATTCAGCTCTTTTTTAAACTTAGAGAGCATTGATCTCTTTTCTCATTACCAGGTAACGGACCCTATGTCCTTTCTTTTTCTTTTATGTTTGTTACTTTCTATGTACTTTTTAAATTTTTAAAATTTTTATTTACTTTTTTGAGAGAGACAGAGTGTGAAAGGGGGAGGGGCAGAGAGTGAATGAGACACAGAATCAGAAACAGGCTCCAGGCTCCGAGCTGCCAGCACAGAGCCTCTTTGTACTTTTTAAATGAAAGTGTCACACTGCCTATAACCAAGGACACCTGATTACCCAGGTGTTACTTTTTCCATCCTACGTTGTCAAAAGACTCAGGTGTAACATGTTTGTGTAAAGTAGGTCTGGGGTCTGCCTCCTTAGCTACCCAACACACAGATACAAAAGGAGGTAAGTAGCAAGGATGCTATTGTCACACCGTGCGTGGCTGTCCTGCAGATCTGCCTCTTGTTTCAATAGTATTCGGCCAGAACAGACCCAGGGACACCCCTTCTTCCAGCCTCTGACCACCCTCCAACCTCTTCCAGTTACAACCTTCAGAACCATCTTCTCAGCCATCCTCTGTCTGTCTCCAGGACCAGGCAACACTGCATTCTGAGCTTAGCTCCTTATTGCCAAACAAACATGAGCTGTCAGATTCTTCAGAGTTATTCTGTCAAAGTGGAGGCTGCCATTGACCACCGTTAGCCCTAACCACTAGGGTTAGGGTCGATATGCATCTGTGGGCCTCCTACACCTACCTCTCTCTGGGCTTCTATTTCCACCTTGACAGTGTAGCTCAGGAGGGTATGCGCCACTTCTTCTGCAAGTCGGCTGAGCAGAAATGCAAAGGCACTGAGTGCTTCTTGAAGATGCAAAACTAGCTTCTTGAAGGGCAAAACGTGCCCTCCTCCAAAGCATTCAAAAGCCTTTCCAAGATGAGTGGAGAAAAACTCTAGACACCATGGAGGTTCTGAAGAAGAACCTGAACCAGGCCCTCTTGAAGCTGCCTGCCCTGTGTTCTGCCCAAGCACACCCCCATCTCTGTGACTTCCTGGAGAACCACTTCCTAGATGAGGAGGTGAAACTCATCAAGAAGATGGTGACCACCTGACTCACCTTATCATGCTTGCTGCTCCCCTAGCTGGGCTGGGCAAGTATTTCTTTGAAAGGCTGACCCTGAAGCACAACTAGAAGCAACTGGAGCCCAGCAGCCTTTGAGGACCCTCCCCTGACATCCCCCTGGTGTCGGAGATTCTGCCTGAGCCTCTCCCTGCAACCATTAGGCAGCCTTTTAACCACCCCAGATCCCTTTCCCAAGCCAAAGGCCAAAAGGAAACAATAAAGTTTTTTAGAGGAAAAAACAAACAAAACAAGAATGCTATTGTGTTAGCCTCTACCGCATTTCTCTAAGTGACTCTGATGAGGAGGCCCCAATACTCCTGCCGTGTGTTTTCACCCATATTCTCCACTAGGGAATAAACAAATGACTAATTTATCCTGAATTTAGAGTAATGATCTAAAGAAACAAAGAAGACCAGGGCACCTGGGACGCTCAGTAGGTTAAGCGTCCAACTTCGGCTCTGGTCATGGTCTCATGGTTTGTGGGTTCGAGCTCCATATCGGGCTCTGTGCTGACAGCTCAGAGCCTGGAGCCTGCTTCGGATTCTGTGTCTCCCTCTCTCTCTCTGCCCCTTCCCTGCTCACACTCTGTCTCTCTCTCTTTCTCTCTCAAAAATAAATAAACATGAAAAAAAATTTTAAATAAAGAAACAAAAAAGAATTATAGTGAAAGCTAATGTTCATGAAGCATGTAATACAGCATACACTTTAAGGGCATTAGGGTTGCCCTTAAAGGGTTGCCAGTCAGTAAACAAAAATACAGGATGCCCAGTTAAATTCAAATTTCAAGTGAACAACAATATTTTTTTAGTATATTTCTCTCAACATTTGCATATGCACCTAGCACTCTTCCTACTACAAATCAGAACCTATGTTAGAAACAAATGTCCGCTGCTCTACCAGCACAGGGTGGGGGTGGGGGTGGGGGTCGGGGTCTCTTGAGGACAGAAAGCAATGGGATCACATGAGGTCATGCTGACTGATGGACCTCCTTCCTCCATTTACAGGTTCCCCTTTACTACAATTAACGTGCAAAATGGCTCTGGGCATAAGATTCTGTAACATCTCCAGCCAGTACTAAGGGCTTACTACCATAATGGTGAAATCTGGGGCCATGGATGAAAGTGACCCAGATGGTAAGAGATTGCTTTGACTCTAGCAATGAGAGGAGAGAGAACATCCTGTTTTGTTTGTGTATGTGTTTTTGTTTTTGTGTGAGTGTGTGTTTTGTAATCAAGAGTCGCTTGAGCTTGTGGAAAACAAAACAGGAAATCTCTCTGGACTTTGTGAGTTTCACCATCCAAGCTGCTCTTGGGAAGAAATCCTGCCTGCGAGTCTCCTCAACTACTGGCTCTTTCCCAAACCATGAGGAACAGAATGGGGACTGGTGCAATGGCCAGGCAAACCCTGGAGAGAGCACAAACATACCCTGATAAAAGGCCTACATCAAAGAGGGAGCCCTGGCTAGGCAGCAGAAACCAGCAAGGCATCAGGGCAGCATCACTCTTTCCTTGTCTCCAGCCCTTGCAACATCCCATCCCGAATCCAATTAGATCCCAGGGGAGGAGAATCATAGAATGTTCCAGCTTCAAGGAATTCTGTAAATCATCTAATCTAATCCATTTGACAGATCAGATACAGTGGCTCAGAAAGGCTAGCTGGCTGGCCCACGGTGAGAGAGCAACTCTGTGATGAAATGATTCTATTCCTACATTTAATCGTAAAATTACCCTTTGAGATAGAGGTCCTATCCCCATTCAAAAAGGAGCATGGAAGAGAATCCTGGCATCCTGGACTTCCCCAGGTCACACAGCAACAATAAATGCCAAGATTTCATCCAAAACATCCTTTTCAGCTGCTCTGTTTGAATCACGTGCTTATGTTCTGTTTGCATGCCTGTGCATGGGTGTGTGTGTGTGTGTGTGTGTGTGTGTGTGTGTGTGTGTGTGTGTTTGTGTGTTCTCAGAGGAAAATGAAACCTTACACTGGAGGCATTGTTGACTTCTGGCTTTTGAGTCAGTGCAGGGACTGAAGAAACAAATCCTGTACTTAAACAAGGGTAAGGACTACATTTGCATGATCATTCGCTTTCATAACAAAGAAATGCTTCCAACTTCTGGCTAATTAGCTACCAAACCAAAAGGGGCAGGAGGAGTAAACAGCCACAAAAATGTTAAGCAATCAAAATAAACTAAGATTTATTTCTGACTCGATGGTTACTTTCCTATTTGAACTTGCCTCGTTCAAATTATTGTTATTCCTCTCTTTAAGCCTTAATTTCTCCATCTGTAAAATGAGGATACAAAAGATATATTTTTGAAGGTTTAGTTAAGTTCAGTAAACATTCACTGAACTTCCTACTCCATACCATCTGCTGTCTGGATGCTAAGAAATGAGGTGAACACGATGCAGTAGCTAACTTCAAAGGACTCATAGTGT